AACGTTTCGAAAAGCTCGCAAGAAAGTCCTGGAAAAGTAAGCCCTGGCGGTGGTGCTTGAAGGAAAGATGAAGGTAAGAGTATAAGACCCCTGGTGGCTTATTTTGGGAAACACGGGTAGTAGTGATACTTTAGAAAAAGGGGAAGAAAAGAGAAAAGAGCAGACGAGGTAGGATATTTAAGAACGTGATGACAGTGGGTTGTTACTCAATGATCGTTGAGTCTGTTTGGAGATTCTCCTCTTTTGGGTGTCTTCTTGAAGAAAAATAAATATAAGACCCTGTCTTATTTTGGGGGAAACACGATATATAATTAAAAAAAGGAAGTAAAGGGAAAAAAGCAGACAATAATAATTTTAAAACTATACCATTTGTTACTCAATGATCTTGATCTTTGAGGTAAAAAAACATAATAAAAATAAAAAATAAATTAAAAATATACCATTTGTAGGATAAATGTCAACTTTGAGAGAACAAATCAATTATATTATCTAATCATTTATGTGATTACAATTATAATTTGAGGACAAAAGAACATAAAGAATTTTTCAAATTTAAATGTAATCAAGTGTGAATGATGTTCACAAAGTTACAGAGATGTAATTAAGTAATAAAATTTAATTTAATTAATAAAAAAACTCCACCAATTTTAATTTAGAAGAATCCAACTTGAGCTTTTGGTATCCTATAGTGTGGACAGAAGGAATGAACAAATAAGGAAAGAAACTTTTATTTATTTATATATATATATATATATATATAATGATCTAAGGAAAAAGATAACAGAACACACACCATGTCAGTGGATTTAAAAAATTTGGGGGCCAGGCACAGTGGCTCACACCTGTAATCCTAGCACTCTGGGAGGCCGAGACAAGTGGATCCTTTGAGCTCAGGAGTTCAAGATCAGCCTGAGCAAGAGTGAGACCCTGTCTCTACTAAAAAAAAGTAGAAAGAAATTACTTGGCATCTAAAAATATATATAGAAAAGGAGCCGGTCAGTGGCGCATGCCCTGTAGTCCCAGCTACTCGGGGAGGCTGAGGCAGGAGGATCGCTTGACCAGGAGTTGGAGTTGCTGGAGGAGGCTGACGCCACGGCACTCACTCTAGCCTGGGCAAAGAGGAGACTCTGTCTCAAAAAAAAAAAAAAAAAAAAGCTGTCATTAGAAAAGACCAACAACCATAAAACCTAGGTTTCTCAAAAAGATTTCTATGTAAACCATTTAAAAATGGGCTTTTTTTCAAAAATGTCATTTGTCATGAAAGAGAAAGAAAGGCCGAGGAACTGATTAAAACTAAAGGAGACAATCACAAAATATAATAGTCTAGTTCTGGAGGGAAAAAAAATGCAATGAAAGTCCCTATGTCGCTCAAGAAAATTGGACTATGGACAGTAGATTCATAAAGTATTGATCGATGTTTAATTACCTGAAGAAGATAACTATGGTGGTTATGTAAGAGGATGTCCCTGCTCTTAGGAAATACACACTCAAGAATTCAAGGGCAAGGCGGCAGGATGCATGCAAAATTGTTTTCAGATGACAAATGACAAAGTATAATAATTGGGGCAGCCCGTTCATGATTGGCGAATCTAGCAAAAAAGGTATGTGGGAGTTTTTTTGTACTATTCTTGTAATTTCTCTTGACACTTGTAATATTGCAAATAAAAGTGGCAAATGTGCAAGTTTAAAATGCAGGATCTATCATAGCACAAACGTAGGGATGAAAAGTCCAAGCACATAATCTCTGCAGCTGGCTGCCATTAAGCATGGCGTCCTGTTGTGACCAGATATTAAAAGTTCGATCCGCCATGGTGAATTTCCATGGATTTGGGCAATAAAATGAAACATTCTCCCAGCCTAGGATTTTATTATCATTTCCCTGGGAATGAATGCCTGGTCAGACAGTCTTTCTTTTGGCTTCGGTCACCTGCCATTTCAGAATGTGCTTTGAGGTCAGTTCAGCTCTTAGGCCATCCAAATATTGGAAGTGTCATTAAAATATGAAATAGAACTGGACAGACTGTTATCTTAAAATTCCTCCAGTTCTTTCCTATTTCCACTCATGACAGGGGAATTTTTGCTTTCAATCTGAATTCCCCAGTGAGCTTAGTCTCTTGATAGCCCAAACACCACTGTGCCCCGATTTTAAATTTTTCTTAACATGATGATTTATGGGCTAACTCACACATATATCTCAGGAGGTGAAGGATTCAGACACCAGACTTGAGACTACGGGAGAAATAATTTTATGGAGGCTCAGTTATAAATGGAGGGAAAAAAAAATTCTTACCTCAGAGGGATGATGTCAGAGCTAATTACCATTTGTACAGTGTCTCAAGGTCTTGAGATAAAAGGGGTCATTTGGGTGTGTCACTCTGTCATTTTTATTACAAGTTCTCCTACATTTCTTTGAAAGTATGTAGAGCATGTTCATTTTAGACTATTTCCACAGAAGCCTATGAAGGTGGTTGCCTCATTTCAACAATTAAAAGAATTTACTTGCCCTTGGCCATAGACAGGGTTCCTATCAACGAAACAAACAATAAAAGAAATTCCTACGCCTATCCTTGTTGCTTCATTTTCACTAGTTGATTAATGAGCTATTTTATTTTCAATTGATTGTTTCATTTGAATTTTTTCTTCTTCTTCTTCTTATTATTATTATTATTTTGGGACAGAGTCTCATTTTGTTGTCCAGGCTACACTGAGTGCCGTGGCATCAGCCTAGCTCACAGCAACCTCAACCTCCTGGGCTCAAGCGATCCTCCTGCCTCAGCCTCCCGAGTAGCTGGGACTACAGGCACGCGCCACCATGCCTGGCTGATGTTTTCTATATATATTAGTTGGCTAATTAATTTCTTTCTATTTATAGTAGAGACTGGGTCTCGCTCTTGCTCAAGCTGGTCTCGAACTCCTGACCTTGAGCGATCTTCCCGCCTCGGCCTCCCAGAGTGCTAGGATGACAGGCGTGAGCCACCTCGCCTGGCCTTGTTATTATTTTTAATTTGATTCTACAAGCTACTCTTGCTTTAGTCCATTTGGATAATAAGCACATGGCCAAATAAATTCAATTCCACCAAATAAATTCAATTCCACCAAATTGAGCACCTATCTGTGTTAGACACTGAGAAAACTGATACACAAATAGACCCAGTCACTGATATCATGAAGGTCAGGGTGCAGTGGAGGAGAAACATGAGAAATAATCAAACAATGAATATTTAATTTTAGGCCGGGCTCGGTGGCTCATGCCTGTCATCCTAGCACTCTGGGAGGCCGAGGTGAGAGAATCGCTCAAGGTCAGGAGTTCAAGACCAGCCTGAGCAAGAGGGAGACCCCTGTCTACTAAAAATAAATTATCTAGACAACTAAAATTATATATATATATAATTAGCCGGGCATGGTGGTGCATGCCTGTAGTCCCAGCTACTGGGGAGGCTGAGGCAGGAGGATCGCTTGAGCCCAGGAGTCTGGCATTCCAGCCTGGGCAACAGAGTGAGACTCTGTCTCAAAAATAAATAAATAAAATAAAATAAAATAAAATAAAATAAAATAAAATAAAATACTTCTGACAGAGCTTTCCAGTTCTGATTGTAATGAATGTGATCACAAATTTCCTCACAAGTACGTCATTTTAGTACTGCACTAATTTGTCAACAACAGCGAATCTAGGCTGCAAGAAAAGTTCAGCTTCATTTTCTTGGCAACACTTCTCATTTTCTCAGTGTTTTAATATTTTTGAGGATTGTATGGTACAATGAAATATTGCAACTGTAGAAAAAACTGCAAATACTGAGCCAGAATTGGTTCCTACATACTTGATGGTAAAAATCAAGAGGAAATTAAATATTCTTTAAAAGCACAGAATAAACAATATTACAGTAATGAATTTAGGAACACACTGCAAGACTCATTGCCATTCCTGAGATAACATCTACCTAGTTATTAAATTTGTTTCTATCCCTAATAGAGCAAAGGCTCCATAAATGATGCCTGTTACTATGTTCTATTTGTTAGGCTCATATTGCCTTTTTCACTTAGAAACATTGAATGATCTGGCTGGGCGCGGTGGCTCACACCTATAATCCCAGCACTCCAGGAGGCCGAGGCAGGGAGATTGCTCGAGGCAGAGTTCGAAACCAGCCTGAGCAAGATTGAGACCCTGTCTCTACTATAAATAGAAAGAAATGAATTGGCCAACTAAAAATATATAGAAAAAATTAGCTGGGCGTGTGGCGCTATGCCTGTAGTCACCACTGCTGGGGAGCTGAGCAGAGGATCGCTTGAGCCCAGGAGTTGGAGGTTGCTGTGAGCGAGGCTGATGCCTTGGCACTCTAGGCCAGGCAACAGAAGTGAGACTCTATCTCAAAAAAAAAAAAAAAAAAAAGAAAGAAACATTGAATGATCCAACATAGAAATGACCTCTTTGATACAAATCCAAGACTGAGTTGGTTCGTATAGAAATAACTGGAAAGTTCTTATAACCGAAGTCTTTTAAGTAAGGCCATTTGTCACATAATGATGGCGGTACATTCCGAGACATGTGTTGTGGACTTTACCCAAACCTAGATGTTGTAGCCTTCTATGCACCTATATGGTTTGTAGCTATTGCTCCCAGGGCACAAATACTCACAGCACGTTACTGGCCTGAATACTATAGGCAACCGTAACTCAATGGCAAGTATTTGTGTGTCTAAATATATCTGAACATAGAAAAGACGCAGTAAAAATATGGTTTGGTCATCTCCTGGGACCATGTAGGTGGTTCGTGGTTGACACTGTTGGTGTTGACAAAGCACATGACTGCAAAACTGTGTCTAAATCAGCGGTCCCCAACCTTTTTGGCACCAGGGACCAGTTTCATGGAAGACAATTGTTCCAGGGCAGGTGGGGGGTGGGGGAGATGGTTTCAGGGTGATTCAAGTGTATCACACATATTGTGCACTTTCTTTCCATTACTGTTACATTGTAACACATAGTGAAATAATTACACAACTCACCATACTGCAGAATTGGTGGGAGTCCTGAGCTCGTTTTCCTGCGGCTGCTTGGAGGTGGCGGAGGCAGGGCTTAGGCGGTGATGTGAGCAACCAGGAGCGGCTGTAAACACAGATGAAGTTTCCCTCGTTTGCCAGCTGCTCACCTCCTGCTGTTTGTCGGGGGCGGTTCCTAACAGGCCACAGACCAGTACCTTGGGTCCTCAGCCCAAGGGTTGGGGACTGGCCTAAATAACCACAGGTCAGGCCGGGCACGGTGGCTCACGCCTGTCATCCCAGCACTCTGGGAGGCCCAGGCAAGAGGACCACTCAAGGTCAGGAGTTCGAAACCAGCCTGAGCGAGATCCCGCCTCTACTAAAAATAAAAAGAAACTAATTGACCAACTAAAAAATATATATATATATATACACAAAAAAATTCAGCCGGGCACGGTGGCGCATGCCTGTAGTCCCAGCTTACTCGGGAGGCTGAGGCAGGAGGATTGCTTGAGCCCAGGAGTTGGAGGTTGCTGTGAGCGAGGCTGACGCCACGGCACTCACTCTAGGCTGGGCAACAAGGTGAGACTCTGTCTCAAAAATAAATAAATAAATAACCACAGACAACTGGGCAGTCATTGTACCCATCACCTGCTTTTCAAATGAGCATGTAAGGCTAGGCCCCGGAGGCAAGGATCAGCACCCCAAAATATTCCCTGGCACTTACTGAGTGCCCCCGAATATTTGCTGAATAAATGAATGGATGGATCCATGAGTGAGAAAAAGGAATCTCTTTGTAGGGGAAAAGAAAAAGGAATCTATTTGTTACATGCCAAAAACAAACCAACAAGAAACAGTTTTGGAATTCTTTTGCTCAGCATCTCAAATTCAAAAGTTTTGGTTCACCAGCCTGTGTTTGCTAGGCCAGGCGTCCCCAAACTACGGCCCGGGGGCCACATGAGGGTGTTTATGCCTGTTTGTTTTTTTTACTTCAAAATAAGGTATGTGCAGTGTGCACAGGAATTTGTTCATAGTTTTTTTTTTAAATGGTAGTCCGGCCCTCCAACGGTCTGAGGGACAGCGAACTGGCCCCCTGTTTAAAAAGTGTCAGGACCCCTGGCCTAGGCTGTCGTCTAGAACATTCTATATAGCTTTCAAGCAAAGCAGCATACGCATTTGCTTCAGCTTTGTGTAAGGCAGCTAAAGGTCCCAGCCGAAATGATTTTCTGCAGGAGCTCGGTTAAATAAATTACGGAATCCCAAAAAATGAAATAGTTTGCAGCTGTTTAACAATTTTAAATGAATTTCAGACACCTGGGAAAGTGTTTGCTGCTGTTGCTTCATTTCACTGATTAAATAAACTAATCCACTCACCCCCATTTGCAGGTAGAGTTCGTAGCAATAAAATGAAGAATGAAAAACTTCTAGCCATGTTGCCATATTTAAGCAGCAGCGGGAATATTTACTGATATGGAACAACCTCTAAGATATATTTCTAAGCAAAAAAAAAAAAGCAAGGGGCCGACAGGGTATAGTACCATTGGTATAAATTAAAAAACCTATGCACAGGCCGGGCGCGGTGGCTCACGCCTGTAATCCTAGCACTCTGGGAGGGCGAGGTGGGAGGATCGCTCAAGGTCAGGAGTTCAAAACCAGCCTGAGCAAGAGCGAGACCCCGTCTCTACTATAAATAGAAAGAAATTAATTGGCCAACTAATATATACAGAAAAAATTAGCCGGGCGTGGTGGCGCATGCCTGTAGTCCCAGCTACTCGGGAGGCTGAGGCAGGAGGATCGCTTGAGCCCAGGAGTCTGAGGTTGCTGTGAGCGAGGCTGACGCCAGGACACTCACTCTAGCCTGGGCAACAAAGTGAGACTCTTTCTCAAAAAAAAAAAAAAAAAAAATTAAAAAAAAAACAAAAAACCTATGCACAAAATATTGTAGAAACTATATGCGAGGAACTGTGCAAAAAATGTTGTCTTTGGGGAAAGGAATTGAGAAGAGTGGTATGGACACTTCTCACTGTACACCCCTTTGTACTATTGGCATTTTTAAAAAAATACATTTTTACTTATTCCAAAGATCACTTATATATTTAAGGCATTAACTCTGGGAAGATTTCACTTAAAAAAAAGAAAAACAAGTTAAAAGAAGATGGATTTTGGAGCTATTCCACCCTCATTCTAATTTTCTCTGCATGCTGCTGTATCATTTATTTATTTATTTATTTTGAGACAGAGTCTCGCTTTGTTGCCCAGGCTAGAGTGAGTGCCGTGGCGTCAGCCTTGCTCACAGCAACCTCCAACTCCTGGGCTCAAGCGATCCTCCTGCCTCAGCCTCCCAAGTAGCTGGGACTACAGGCATGCGCCACCACGCCCGGCTCATTTTTTCTATATATTTTTAGTTGTCCAGCTAATTTCTTTTTTTTTTTTGTTTAGTAGAGACAGCATCTCACTCTTGCTTAGTCTGGTCTTGAACTCCTGAGCTCAAAGGATCCTCCTACCTCGGCCTCCCAGAGTGCTAGGATGACAGGTGTGAGCCACCGCGCCCGGCCTCCATGCTGCTGCTGCTATATTTTTAAAGAGCACAAAGTTGTTTCTGAATTTCTATCGCCCTTACCAGCTAGGACAACTTGACCGCCGATTACAGAAATCCCGATTTAAACAACAAACGGAATGCATGGACTTACTTCGCAGAGCAGTCCGGAAGTAGAGCCTGCTTCAGGTGGGGTTGATTCCAGGCTCCACCGTTACCCTTCAATCCTCTCAACTGTGACCTCCTGCAAATTAGCACTGGCCACATGCAGGCGTACCCAGTTGGTGGCCAAAAAATGGCCACCCCCCCCATTCCAGGCCCTGGATCTGCAACCTCACCACACTCTGCAGAATGAAGACAGAGGTCTCACACTCCAATTACAACGCGCGAGATTCACTGTAAGGAGCAAGGAACAGCCTGTTTTAGATTTGCAGCTGAATCGGGAACTGCGGCCACGTGAACCAAACGTGCGCATTGGCTGCACCTGGGGTTGCCTGCTCCTGTCCCGGGCCAAATCCACCTGCCCAGGACCCCAGGTCTCCTCTCGTGCACAATGAGGGCTGCGGGAAGGAGGGCAGGGAAGCAGGCACCAAACCCGTTCCAGCAACCCCAAAGGTAAATGCACAGAATCGGCTTCACAACGTTGATCTTCAGGCTCACCACAATGAGGACGCTTGGCTAAATCTCTGCGCTTTGTCCCAAAGTTACATACCTTTTCTCTCCTGGTGAAGATGCCTTGACAATCAGTCTGCCGGGTGGATAACAGTGATATCTTGGGTAACACCGCACATGTGCTCAAAATAAAAAGATGATGTTGATCATCTTTTTCATCAAAAAGATGATCATCCGATCATTTTGATCAAAAAATGATCATCCGATCATTTTGATCAGATCAGATCAAAATGATCGGATCTGATCATGATCTGATGATGTTGTTTGATCAGATCAAAAAAGATCTGGTCATTTTACTTTTTTTTTTTTTTTTTTTGAGAAAGAGTTCCACTTGTTTGTCCAGACTAGAGTGATGGCCGTGCGTCAGCCTAGCTCACAGCAACCTCAGACTCCTGGGGTTGCATGATCCTTCTGCTCAGCCTCCCGAGTAGCTGGGACTACAGGCAGTCGCCACCATGCCCGCTAATTTTTTGTCAGTAATATTCAGTTGCCAATTAATTTCTTTCTATTTATAGTAAGAGACGGGTCTCGGCTCTTGCTCAGGCTGGTTTTGAACTCCTGACCTTGACAATCCCGCCCGGCCTCCCAAGAGCTAGATGTACAGCGTGATCCACAGCGCGGCCTCATTTTACTTTTTAATTTTTTTTTTTTGAGACAAGATCTCACTCTGTTGCCCAGGCTAGAGTGCCGTGGCGTCATCATAGCTCACAGCAACCTCCAACTCCTGGGTTTGAGCCATCCTCCTGCCTCAGCCTCCCGAGTAGCTGGGACTACAAGCACTGGCCCCTATGCCTGGCAATTTTTTTTTTTTTTTTGTAGAGACAGGGGTCTCACTCTTGCTCAGGCTGGCCTTGAACTCCTGGCACAAGCAATCCTCCCTCCCCAGGCTACTCGAGTGCTAGGATTACAGGTGTCAGCCACAGCGCCCAGCCTTACTTTTTTTTTTTTTTTTTTGAGACAGAGTCTCACTTGTTGCCCAGGCTAGAGTGAGGCCTGTGGGCTCAGCCGCTCACAGCAGCCTCAAACTCCGAGGCTCAAGAGATCCTCCTGCCTCAGCCTCCCAAGTAGCTAGGACTATATGTTCTTGCTCTTGCCTCAGGCTGGTCTTGAACTCCTAACTTCAGGCGATCCTCCTGCCTCAGCCTCCGAGAGCTGGACAAGGCAATGTGCACCATGCCTGGCTATTTTTTGCATATATTTTTAGTGCCAATTAATTTTTCTATATGAGTAGGACAGCGGTCTCGCTCTTGCTCAGGCTGGTTTCGAACTCCTGACCTTGAGCAATCCGCCCGCCTCGGCCTCCCAGAGTGCTAGGATTACAGGCGTGAGCCACCGTGCCTGGCCAGCCTTACTTTTTATTAGAGGCACAGTCTTGCTCTGTTGTCTAGGCCAGAGTGTCGTGGTGCTATCATAGCTCACTGCAGCCTTGAACTCCTGGCCTTAAGCGATCCTCCTCCCTCAGCCTCCTGAGTAGCTTGGGACCTCAGGTGCATGCCACTGAGCCTGGCTAATTTTTAAAACATTTTTTTTAGCCATGCCATCTTGCTGTCTTGCCCTGGCTGGTCTCAAATACCTGGCCTCAAGCGATCCTCCTGCCTCAGCCTCCTAAAGTGCTGGGATTACAGGCCTGAGCCACTGCGCCCCGCCCATTTTACTTTGAATACAAAGACTTCTGTGGTTTTGGAACAGAGAAATCACAGCTTTGAATACTGCCGAGTCTGCTAGCCTTTTCTAAACCCAGAGTCTGGCAGAACCGAGCGCAAGCTGCATCTTCACCATGGAGGCTTTCAGATGGTCATGTCAGATTGTCTGAGTCGTTCAACAGCCAGTCAATAAACACAAACTGTGCGCCCTTGCTGTGTGCCACGTGCTGGTGGGTACTGGGGCTACAGCAGGGGAACGCGACAGGGTCCTGGCCCCCCACCCCTCCCCGCTGCAGCTTGGTCTATCGGGGAAGGCAGATAGTGCACCTGTTTATTTAGACAGCTAAGTGAATTCAAAATTGTGGAAGGGTCTATGGGATTTGCCGTAGCTTGCTGGTCGTTGCTCGGTTAGTTGAGGATGCCTTCTCCGGCCTCATTCCCTCTGCGAAGCCTGTGATCTGTCTGTTAGTTCCTTAGATCTATTCTCTCTCTCCTCCCGTTCGAACACACACCGGTCCCTTTATAAAAAAAAAAATGTCGCTGCCACGCCTCCCAGGTCTCTTTCCCCTTCGTCCAGCGTCAGCTCGTACCTCTCTCCCTTCTGCGTTTTAGTTTGATACTGGTTTCCCGGATATATCCTTCCCTCAGATTCGAGTCTAGATGTCCTTTATGGGTATTCCAGCCCTCACCTGCGTTTCCCTCTTGGCACCTACCAGCCTCTTTGGAATTAGCACACGCGTGGTTTGGGGAGATGTTTGATTATGCTTTGTCTTCCAGGCTCTGGCCTGCCAAACAAAGGGACTCTATCGCTTGATGGTTAAGGAGCATTTGCATATTATTTTTTTTTTTTTTTTTGAGACAGAGTTTGACTCTGTTGTCTGGGCTAGGGTGCAGTGGCGTGCAGCGCTGGTCACGAGCAACCTCCAACTCCTGGCTCAACCGATCCCTCCTGCCCTCAGGCGGCGCGCCCTCTCCGAGGTAGGCTGGGACACAGGCATGCCGTGGCCAGCTCTGGTTGGAGCCCCGGCTGGATAGTATATAGTAGTATATATTTTTTTTTTGTTTTTGAGACGAGTCTTCCTTTTGCTTGGCCCAGGCTAGTGAGCGGTGAGTGGCCGTGGGCGTCAGCCTTTAGCCTCACAGCAACCTCAAACAACTCTTTGGGCTGGGCTTAGGCCAATCCTTGATGCTCAGCACTCGCGCCGAGGTAGACTGCGGACTACAGGCAGGCGGCCGCCCATGCTTTTTTTTCTGTATATATATATTAGTTTGCCAATTAACTTTGTTGGTCGCTTATTGATAGTAGAGACAGGGCGGCGTCTCCGTCTCGGGCTCAGCGCCTGCGTTTTCGAACTCCTGGGCTCAAGCGATCCTCCTGCCTCAGCCTCCCGAGTAGCTGGGACTACAGGCATGCACCACCATGCTTGGCTGATTTTTTCTATATATTTTTAATTGCCTAGCTAATTTCTTTCTATTTTTAGTAGAGACGGGGTCTCGCTCTTGCTCAGGCTGGTCTCGAACTCCTGACCTTGAGTGATCCTCCCGCCTCGGCCTCCCAGAGTGCTAGGATTATTGCACCTGTCTTCAAAGCCTCTGTTTCTCATTCGTGTTTTTCCCCACGGGAATGTAAGCTCCATGGGAACAAAGCCTTTGCCCATTTAGTTGACTGCTTTTCCCCCACTGGCTCATCAAGTACCTGATGTGTCTTGGCTGCTCAGTCAATATTTATCGAATAAAAGGATGAATCAGTAACCCAGGCTTTGCAGATGGTCTCGCACACTGTAGCCACTCCATAAATATTTTGGAATGAATGAATGGCTGATAAGGAAGGACAGGTGCTACTGAAACAAACACGGGGCATTTGGGAGGAGTTTTGGACAGTTGGAGGAGTCTCGTAAGTTATACAGAATAAGAAAGAGATTTTCAGCCCTTTTGCTTTTGTGAGCCCAACAGGTCAAACGTCAATCGAACTTTCTTACAGCTGGTGGGGGGGGCTAGGATGTACAAGCAGGCATGGAACCCTGTTAGACCCTGACTTCACAGATTTCCATCTCTCCCACCCCCTTGCTCCTCGACATACTTTCCTTCAGGTGACAGCTTGTGCAATTCTGCAGTTTCTTGCCAAGAATAGAGATCGAAAATGTCCCATAGATAAATCAGCATCACGGTGGACCAACTGGAAGCTAAAGCCTGCAGCAATTTTCCAGAATTCCTCAACTCCCAGGAGAAGCAGAGAGGGGGAAAAAAAAAAAAGAAAAGAAAAGCAGAGGTTAGAGGGCAGGGTTCTAGAAGTCTCGTTCTCTTTCCTACGATGGCTGGCTTGTGTGGGTAGAGAAATCGTGTGTGGTACAGAGCAGAGAGTTCTGTGCATGACTCCTTTTTGGAGATGAATTTCCTCTGCCTTTAAACATTTTGGTCTTTTTAGTTACTAATGATACTAAAGGAGCTATATGGTTTCTTCCGGAGCTGGGTCAGGATGTGCTCCAGAAATTACCTGGGAGGATGCCAAATGCAAATTCGAGAAGAAATAGCAGTCTTGGTATTCATGGTGACAGCTTAGTTACCCTTAAGGGGAAGGGAAGGAGAAATAGGTATGTTTTTCCTTAATAAAGTCTTTCCCCTTAATTCCTAGATTCCATGTCTGTTCTTACATGGTAACAGGCTGGGACCAGACTAGGAATTTTAGTGATAGCAATTTAGCCTAAATTTCAACATAATCCTGCATAATCATTATAGTGGATTGTATACTCCTTTGGAAACTACTTTATTTTTATTTTTTTATTTTTTTTAGACAGAGTCTCACTTTGTTGCCCAAGCTATAGTGAGTGCCGTGGCGTCAGCCTGGCTCACAGCAACCTCAATCTCCTGGGCTCAAGCGATCCTCCTGCCTCAGCCTCCCGAGTAGCTGGGACTACAGGCATGCACCACCACGCCTGGCTCATTTTTTGTATATATATTTTTAGTTGATCAATTAATTTCTTTCTATTTTTGGTAGAGACGGGGTCTCGCTCAGGCTGGTTTTGAACTCCTGACCTTGAGCGATCCACCCGCCTCGGCCTCCCAAAGTGCTAGGATTACAGGCGTGAGCCACCGCGCCCGGCCTGGAAACTACTTTAAAGAGCTGTGCACAGAATATTTTCCCAGGCTGCAGAAATCCTCACATGGAGATAAAAAGCCATTCAAAATGTGATTGTTATCTCCCCCCAAAAACAGATCAGTTTTCTTTGAATGTAATGATCACTAGGGAGATTAGCAATACCCAGTTTATATACAAAGAAAAAAAAAAAGAATGAAGTATATATTAACCATCCTCATTATTATAGTTAGGCTAGATGACAACTTCATGGGAAAAGTATTTCGTGATAACTAATAGTAACCACACACATTTTATGATCGAAAACAGTGGCGCTCAGATAGGTCATAAAATTTGTCTGGGGACATCTAGCCATTATGTGTCAAAACACCACTTTGGTTCCAGTTATAAAAGTCCATGCTGTAAATCAAGAGGCTGTATACTAAGCACTGGTATTTCTTGTCATATTTCATTATTTGATTTATAAGTTACATTATACAGCACATTCCACATTATTTTAGTATATCATCATTTTCAATGGTGTCAGAGTTGTTTTTAAAGAAAAAATTGGTTTAAAAAAATTGGTAAAATTCACCTAAAATAAAGTTCCCCTTTTAATCGTTTTACACTATACAAGTCAGTGGCACTTAGTATATTCGTACTGTTGTGTAACCATCACCACTATCTAGTTCCAGAATCTTTTCATCCCTGCCCCCTCAGAAGAAATCTCAAAACCATTAATCAGTATTTCTGCCTCTCCCTTCCCCCTAGCTCCCGGTAACCATTAATCTATTTCCTGTTTCTATGGATTTGCCAATTCTAGACATTTTATACAAATGCAATCTTACAATATGTGATTTTTTTGTGTTTTCCTTCTTTCACTTAACATCATGTTTTCAAGGTTCTTCCATGTTTCAGCAGCTATCAGTACATTTCATTCCTTTTTGTAGTTAAATAATGTTCCATTGTATGAATATACCACATTTAATTTATTCCTTCATCCATTGATGGACATTTAGGTTGTTTGCACCTTTTGGCTATTGTCAATATTATGTCTATGAACACTGGGAACAAGTTTTTGTTTGCACAACCGTTTTTTAATTCTTTGGTGTATATATTCCTAGGAGTAGCATCGCTGGGTTATATAGTAGTTCTATGTTTGATTTATTGAGGGATTGCCAAACCTTTTTCCATATCAGCTACACCATTTTATAGTCTCACCAGCAATGCATAAAGGTTCCAATTTCCTCACATTCTCACCAACATTTGTTATTTTCCATTTTTAAAGAAGTATACTCACCCCGGTAGATGTGTAATGGCATCTTATGGTGGTTTAGATTTGCATATCCCTAATGACTAATGATGCAGCACATATTTTCCTGTGCCTCAGAGTGTTTTTTAAAGATAAACTTTAAGTTTAGAATATTTTTAGGTTTACAGAAAACCTGCAAAGATTACATAATAATATTTTAGTAACATCATCCCCACAGAGAATGTACTAGAAGGTGTCCCTGTGCCTCCTCTATTTTTGCCACCTTGAGTTTTAACCTTTTCGATAGAGAAATATATCACTGGAGCACATTATAGTTATTGAGAAAGGCTCTGTGATATTGCTTTCTTTGCCTACAAAACTGTAGGGTAGACAATATTACAGTGATGTTAGAAATTAATAAATGGAAGTAAAGTGGTTAGGAACATGGTTTTGGTCTTAGTCTCAGCGACACCACGTCTGAATATTGGTTGGGTCTTCTCAAACAACACACTCAACTTCTCTGAACCTTTCTCTTCATCTGTAAAACAGCAATAGCATCTACCTCATAGGGTCATTATGAGGATCAAATGAGAAAGCATATTGAAAATGCATGCTGGCCCGGCGCGGTGGCTCACGCCTGTAATCCTAGCACTCTGGGAGGCTGAGGCAGGTGGATCGTTTGAGCTCAGGAGTTCAAGACCAGCCTGAGCAAGAGCGAGACCCCGTCTCTACTAAAAATAGAAAGAAGTTAATTGGACAGCTAAAAATATACAGAAAAAATTAGCCGGGCGTGGTGGCGCATGCCTGTAGTCCCAGCTACTCGGGAGGCTGAGGCAGGAGGACCGCTTGAGCCCAGGAGTTGGAGGTTGCTGTGAGCTAGGCTGATGCCATGGTACTCTAGCCTGGGCAACAAAGTGTCTCAAAAAAAAAAAAAAAAAAAAAAGAAAGAAAGAAAGAAAGAAAGAAAGAAAGAAAGAAAGAAAGAAAGAAAGAAAGAAAGAAAGAAAGAAAGAAAGAAAAAGAAAATACATGCAGTGTTTGGCATATTGTAAACATTCAATAAATGAGATGTTTGTTTGTTTGGTTGCTTTAGAAAGCACAGAGCAATCACCTAATTTGTCTGTGTCCACCTAGTTGGTTAGAATCCCCAAGAGACTATCATTTCATCTCAATTTCCTTCCTTCATGCATGCCTACATATATCCATTCATTCTTCAAATATGCACCGAGCACACGCTACATGTCAAGTTGTGGGCAAGGAGCTACCAAGGTGAATAATAGTCAGTATCATTGACCCGGAAGCAGACAAAGCTAGGATCAAATCCCACAGCCACTCCCTGGGCATAGGACCCTGTACAAGTGACACAGCCTAGTCAAGCCTCTGTTTTCTCACCTGTAAAATGGGAATACTCGTCCTCCCTGCCTTATAAAGTGCAGAGGATGAAATAAATGCGTCATGTAAAGTACTGACCAAAGTGCTCAGCACAATGAGCACTCACTCAAAAAAACGTTAGCTGCCATTGCTGTTATGGTCATGATTTTGATTGAGACAAAGAAAAATTATTGTAAAGATTTAACGAGACAATAAATGCAAAGATGTAGAGCAGTGCATGCCACGTTGTAAATGTCTCCATATAAATATTATTCTTTTGTTTTTTAGCCATTTAAAAGCGTAAAGCCATTCTTAGCTTATGAGTCATGCAGGGACAAGACAGGTTGAGGAATGCATTGGCTGCAGGCTGTCATTCCTGCCATGATGTGTCACACACAGAAAGGATAAGTATAGCTTCATGAAACCTTCAGGCAAAGGTTTCAATCCTACCTGTACGTGTATGTGTGCGCTAGATAGTGATAAAAAGAAAAAAACAAAAACAAAAAAAAACCCAAAAAACACATTTCCCATTGTGAACAGCAATCACAAAAGTTTGAAAAACATGAACCTAGAGAAGGTTCTCGGCTGTCCAGAGAGCAGTGTCAGGAAATGCCAGCTTGCCTTAGCAAGCAGATTGCATGGCTTTAATAGTTTTAGGCTTTAGTGGTGTCAATTCAAAAAGTAAAGTCATCCTGAGACTGTATGTTAAAATCAAATTGATAACTGAAGGAAGTTGAGTCTAGCCTGAAACAGGGCAACCCTGGTTTAAGTGAACAAAAAAAAAAAAAAAAGGAGGAAGAAGAAAGAAGAAAGAAAAAAGAGAGGATTGCTATCTGTCTGGTTTTTGCTCCCATCCCTCAGCTGCGAGTTTTCCCAATGCTCTCAGAGTTTTAGAGGCAAGGTCACAAGATCAAGGTCAAACATCTGAAAAATGCAGATGCTGTGAGTCTGGAGGCAGACGCATTCCCAAGCAGATGCCAGCTTGTGCGTTCACTAAAGTGGAGGGCTAACTTAATAATTAAAACAGCAGTATCTTCCAACGCTTGGCTTAATTCAGCAGTCCTCAGCTGCCTCCAAAATCCTTGGGGTACTCAAACTCGGGCAGGCGGAATTTCTCAGCCAGGAGTGGCAGGAGTGCTCAGGATACAAGGACTCCAAATTTGGGCGCTGGTTCCCTGGGGGATGTTGTTCATAACCTCTCTGGGTTTGGCTAAGCCTCCCGTCACGTGGGCAGCAGCCCATAAAAAACGAGTTTCAAATTCTAGGAACTTGCTAAATCTGGAAAGTGTGTATAATAATACATTTTTTGGAGTCCTCGTTCATCTGGCTACACGATTTGGTGGGGGACAATTTTCCAGGGATGGCACGGTTCAAGGAGCAAGGTTGCTCAGCCTCCAGATTGCTTCCTTATTCTGAGTCATTTCCCAAAGCCCCACCTAGTAGTTGCAGGGTCAGCTCTGGGGCCAGATAAAGTCTTTATGCAACCGTGCACGCTGTGGGTAGTCACACTGTCATGGGCTCAGTACGGGCAGGGTCAACCACCTGAGAACTCTAGGAATGCCTCCATAAAACACACCTTTGAGACCCATAATGTGATCATAAAACTGGACTTCCTCTTTCACTTCTTAAAATACTATTAAAAATAAATGAGGCCGGGCGCGGTGGCTCAAGCCTGTAATCCTAGCACTCTGGGAGGCCGAGGTGGGCGGATTGCTCGAGGTCAGGAGTTCGAAACCAGCCTGAGCAAGAGCGAGACCCCGTCTCTACTATAAATAGAAAGAAATTAATTGGCCAACTAAAAATATATAGAAAAAATTGGCTGGGCACGGTGGCGCATGCCTGTAGTCCCAGCTACTTGGGAGGCTGAGGCAGGAGGATCGCTTGAGCCCAGGAGTTGGAGGTTGCTGTGAGTGAGGCTGACGCCACGGCACTCACTCTAGCCTGGGCAGCAGAGTGAGACTCTGTCTCAAAAAAAAGAAAAGAAGTGTGTCTTTTAGTTCTGTACCATC